ATTTATTTTTTTAATTTTCCTATTTTCAAGCTTTGCTACTGTATTTAAAGATATGCTAGCAGGGACCAGTTGAAAAGCAAAAGTAAAAAGGTGATAAAATAGGGGGACAGGGGAGAAGAAGCTTTGTCTGTTGTTTGTTCCTGCTTGCTCTCTTCACTATGGCATTTGGATGTTTTATTATCCTCTTACTGTGGGTATAAAGAGAGGGCAACTTTGAATCCTTTGCAGAGTCAGGCAGGATTATTCTGTTTAGCCTCTGCAGTACTAGAATAACACATGAAGATTCCAGAGTCACTTAATCTACTGCAGCAAAAATGCCCCATCCTTTAACAAGCTTTGCAATGGGGAGTACTTAAAATTCAGTGGCATCCATCCTACCCAGTAAGTGCCCTTTTGTTATCCACCCTCCTCCCCCCCTGCTTTTTCTTCAGTTTGGGAAGTGGGCTATACTGACTCTGTAGTAAAAGGTCATATGACTCTTGGCTGGGCTGCCAACTTACTGTGTGTTCGGTTGATTTAGGAAGTCGGACCTGCGTGCGGGTCAGTGCATGATACAAGTGCCTAGAACTGGGTTCAGCTTGCATAATCTGTTCCTACAGTATTTCCTTACTGAGGTCTACAGGAGGCTTGGTCATCTCATAAACAACTGAATTTCGCCAGCACCTTTGTCTGAATATTTACTTTTGTTTCCGCCATGCGGTGCTGTCGATACATTCTCATCAAGTCCTCTTTTAGTGCTAGAGTTGCTCATAGACCTCATGCTTGTTAGAGGGATGATGAGTCAGTCACTATGCCCAATCATGGGTGCTTTGAAAGACTTTCTGAATGTTAATGGTCTTTCTGAAGGCAGGTGAAGAAATGTCCTGCTATTTGAACTGAGCTGTTGGGATATATCTGTTAATTATTCATGACTTTGTATCTCCTTGAGGAAGTAATGAAGCTTAATTTGGAAATGAAGTATGTGCTTAGTTGGATATTATCTATCCATCTCAGAGACTGCTGACTGATTATGTTCCACCTGCCTTGCCTGTGATAACTGTTTCTGTTGGATATGTGCAGGTGCCATAGTTTCTAAATAATTTGCTAGTGTTTACAAAATATCACTGAAATTTACAGTTTATAACTATAATATCTGTCACTTTTGTACTTCACATAATTAGCTCTGGAACAGTAAGCTTATATATATATATATCAAAAAAGAAGGAAAATCTTACTGCTTCATGTAATAAAATGTCTGTGTGGGTGGCAGTTTGTTTTAAGATGTTTGTTATGGGAGTGGTCACCAGGTGGCACTGCTACACGTAGTCTTGCTACACAGTAATGCTTTGAGAGTGCGTGTCTGACACGGGTAGTCCTTTTATTTTTCTTCTCTGGGTGACTTACTGTATCTGTAACTCTACCTGTTTATACTACTGTAACTTTTTATATTGTTTGAAAATACTTTAACTTTTGTTATAGTATGCACATCAAATTTTCAATGATGCATGTCGAAATTTCCAGCTACATAAAAATGCAGTATCTTAATGATAATATATACCCTACATTACACATTTGCCATAACTTAAAACAGTCATATAATTATAGCAACACTTACACATTATTACTTGCTCTTTACATAGTGTCATGTTACATTTTTATTGGGGCCTGTTCTAGATTTACAATTTTTCCTATATGTCTATATCTGAAATAACTTTTTTCTAGATCTAAATCTGGTTCAGAGAATAAGCATTTGCATTTCTCTATCCATTTTTATGCAACTTAACTACTCTAGCTTTCTATATTATGCCACTTAGTTTTCAGTGTCCTTATGCCATACTGATTACATTTAAGAATACACATTTCAGCCACTGGAAGTGGCATTGTTGCTTAATTCCCGTTAGTTACATCTGAATCTGACAGATAATGTTCTGATGTTCTTGCAACTATTGAAGTTGCTAGAAATTTTTTTTACTATTTTTGGGGCCAGGGTTTCATCACTATTGTGTTTGAGATAGAAGGTTATGAGTGTTTTTTAAAAATTGTTTGCTTGAGAGCTAGGCCAAATTAAACCAAGAAAGGCCTCCTTCCCAGTGATGCTTCCAAGCTGTCAAGTATTGAATACTACAACCACACGTGCAACTTGAAAAGGGTGTTAAAGTCTACATTTAAAATGAGTAAAGGAATGTAAGTGAATCACTGGTGTGCCGTGCAATACTTACCTTCTCACAATTGGGGATGTGGGAAGAAGAGATATGTTCAGCAGTCTACATAGTTAAGACAGCAGATGTGGATTTATATAGGAAGGAGTCAAGGGAGGTGAAAAAAGACAGCAGATGGGAATCCCATAATCTTTTTTTTTTTTTTTTTTTTGCTACTCTGGCATCATTCTTTTGTTCTTGGTATTGCATTGGGAATACAAGTGCCCTATCGTCCATAGTAAGCTGTGCCTTCTCTCACCAGACATACAGTACTAAGCTGTGCTTCTTAGTTGTCTTCAAAAGTTCTAGTAATATTTTAATGGTGATACCCTGTTCAAGTTTTTAGGGCATTTGCATTTTTCTCTTGAGCCGGATATAACTTGTCATTTTTGAAGCTGAAGCAGTTTTGCCTCCCAAAGCATCTCTGTTTCTTACTGATGGGAATCCCATAATCTTTTTTTTTTTTTTTTTGCTACTCTGGCATCATTCTTTTGTTCTTGGTATTGCATTGGGAATACAAGTGCCCTATCGTCCATAGTAAGCTGTGCCTTCTCTCACCAGACATACAGTACCAAGCTGTGCTTCTTAGTTGTCTTCAAAAGTTCTAGTAATATTTTAATGGTGATACCCTGTTCAAGTTTTTAGGGCATTTGCATTTTTCTCTTGAGCCGGATATAACTTGTCATTTTTGAAGCTGAAGCAGTTTTGCCTCCCAAAGCATCTCTGTTTCTTACTGATTCTGTACTATACTGCAGCTCTATTAACCTTTCTAGCCTGTGTTCCTTCATTTGTCATCACTTAACTTGTGGAATAATCTCAAGGAGTTCCCGTTAGCTTTGGTCTTGGTTTTCATCTCTGGAGAGCTGGAGGGAACTAGGATCTCTTCCGAATCCTAAAATGAGTTTGAGCAAGCAGGCACTATCACGGAAGAGAAGTAGATTCCAGCAGCTGCAGAACTCCCTCCTTGTTTCTTCTCTTTTTTTCATATGTTACTGTAGTGGTCGGTGAATGGTAGGGAAGTAAATGTATCCTTTATATAAAAGCAGAAATAGTTGGGAATGTGGAAGTTCTTGCTGCAGAAGTCATCTCCTGCAATAACTAGCTTTGCAACCGACCTGAGTGGCTAACGGCAACCTTAACTCTCTGTCATCTCAATGACAATGATTTTAGTGAGCTGATCTGGTGTTGAGTTTTTGCAGAACACTTAGGGAAAAATAACACGTGTCTGTTGGGGGGGAATTGCCAGGGGAATTGTCAGTGTTTCCACTTGGAGAGCTACTCTGATCACACGTGAGACCACAGGACTAAAGATTTGGGAGAAGTCAGAGGAATACATCTTCGGAATCTGCTCATTTTGCATTATATACAGAAACTTTCTGTGGCATCTGAGAAACTTGCATTCTCTTCTGCAAAAAGTGAAGCCAGCCTTTTGTCAACTGTAGCAACCAAGCTATACTTTCAGGACTGCAAAAACTTTCCTTAATAAACAGAACAGTATTCATCTACACTGGATTCAAGGTCTTCTCTGCTAGCAAGTTTTATCGGATAACCTTTACATGTCAAAAATAGATTCTCTTCCTCAGTCAAATGCTTTGAGGAAGGCAAGTATAATACTTCAATGCATTCTCTCTTTTAATTAGTGCTGTATTAAATTGAGCATTGATACACTGTACATGGACGTAAGTGCGGTAGGTCCTCTGAAGTTCTGGAGATGTCTACAAAATCTTCAGTCAGGGATTATTCTTTTATGGTTTATGAACTCTGCTCAATTCCAGTTCCCCTAAATCTTCTTTGGAATGGTTCTCCTTGGCAGAACAAATTATAATTTGTTGTTATGATCAAAAAAGATATGAGTGGGGGAAAAAAAGCCCTACCAGACTAATTTATCATTTTTTTACTGTGAACAATTACAGAGTCGCTTTTGTTTTTGACTTGTCTCTACAAGAGTGATATGTCTTACTCAATTCTTTGGCATTATATCTTAAACTATAATAACCTCTATACATTCTGCAAAACATACTTTTTAAATTATTATTATTTCTAGTGGTGTTTCTCACACTGTATGTTTCTATCCTGTTAGAATCATAGAGGAGAGGCCAGAATTTTCTCTGGCAGCCAAAGTTTAAAGCCTTGGTAATACTCCCAGTCTACTGAACTTGCTTTCTAATACTGGAATTACACT